GCCACCACAGCAAAGAACCATACTAATCTTATACTTTATTCAACCACAATCAAAAACCAATTTTTCGATGGGATCTAAGATTGTTGGACCTTAATGTATCTGTTCATTGCACCGGACCTACCGACTTTTTCAGACTTTTTTTCACAGACACACTACTTGAAACAATTGTACTAGAAACAAATAAATATGCCAAAAATAAAATAGAACAGCAGAGCTTATCTGATCGATCAACATGGAATAACTGGATCGATGTGACGAAAGAAGAGAAGAGTTAACAGCTTTTTTGAACGAAAGAAGAGTTAACAGCTTTTTTGGGTGTAATCTTTAACATGGGTACTATATCAGATCCTAATATGAAATATTATTGGACTGAGGAACATGTTGCGAACATACCATTTTTTCGAAATATATTTCGAAAGGAAAGATTTCTCCAAATATTTTGGATGTTATATTTGAATGAAAATGTTTCCAGAAATGCAAATATAACGACGAGAATCTAAAAACTGAGCAATTTTATCGATTATATTGATGGTAAATTCACAAAAGAATTAATAAATCTTGTTTATCCTTCGTAATCTTACATGTTATGTATCACTGCTCTTTCAAGGGAAATTAATTCCGACCAGTGCGACACCCGTGATCAAATTTAATACGACCGCAAAGAGTGAATACTTACTTGGTCCACCAGTTATCTAGTTTTTATGTACTTTTTGTACTTCTTGTTTGAATAAGAGGTCATATGGGTTCTTGGATTCGTATTGACTTTAAATATCATGTTATGGTAATGAAAGTATATGTATTGCTACATTTAAAGAAACTGCAATGATTCTGAAATCTCGAAAAAATGACCTTGAGAAAAATTTGTTAACCACACAAGTATATACACAATAATATAATTGAATTACATAATTGAATAAGTATATACATTCTTGAATTAATTGTCCATTAATATAATTAGAAATTTGGTGTCCGAGGAATTCATATTTAAGGAGTTTTCGATATCTATTTGTACGAGTGCTTTACAGTAGTGCAAGCGAATTGATTCACAGCACGCAAGAAGTCCAATGCTTACCTCGAATTATACCGAACATCATTTTTCAAAGAATCTAATACAACTAAAAGCAAGGAAACTAATGTACAGCAATAGGAGACTGAGTTCGAAATATTTATCGAGACAGCTGACAAAGAGTTAAATATTTGTACAATTTGTCTTTTTACTGAATTTTCGACTATAAAACGCACGAATGAACGTATTCGAACACTTCAAACGGCATGAAAGCTGTCTGATAATCCCAATTCACTGAATCTCGATTCATACATATAATCCGGTATGTTTGCAGTTGAAATTGCAACTCGGATTATTGGCTTTATTTAGATATGATGAAAAATCGCCTTAGCAATATGTAATGAAAATTCATACGGAGATATAAATTATGTCAAAAACAAGAATCTTTTTTTATTCTTCTATAAATCGGGAAATTAATAAAAAGATTATATTTGATTATATAAATAATACAATTTTATTTATTTATGTTATACCGGTATAATATGATTGACCCTTAATTGCACTTCATCAAAGTAATATACATATTTAGCATACTGAAAGCGTTCAAGACCCCAGCCATTAAAAATATTTCTTACAAAGAAGCTATTTTAACTTAAAGAAATTATAAATAGTCTTTGAAAGTTGTTTTAACATATTTTTCAGGAGATTTCAATAAATTTGAAAACGTTTAATATTAAAAAAATTCAGGAATATGTGAAAATGAAAGAAATTGTGTTTTTCACAGAAAAGTTCATTTCTTTTTATTTAAATATGAAGAGGTAAAATTTTAACTGAATACACTTGAGATATAATAGGAAAAAATAGTAAAAATACCGAGATTTCAAAGAAGGTATTTATTCAAATTTTCAGAATTTAAAGTGATTTAAATTAAAGCTAAATTGACTGGAATCATTTCATACCCCAGTTAACACGTTCCGTGCCACGTGTACCACCGGTGGTACACGCAGTCATATTTATTCAATGTGCTGAAAACATATATTTTATTACAAATATAATTCGGTAAACTATATTTCTACCTAAAAAATGATGCATTATACAAGATGCAGTATAGAACAAAACACATAAGTTTATTTAATTGTTATATATACAATAATTAATAATTACATTTAATGGTGCATTTTGTTGAAGCAAGGGAGGCATAAAGACGGCTTTTTCGGGCAATCGCTGTAAAACGTTATTACTCTTATAGATTTTGTCTTGCTACTTCAGTACCGAATTTTTTTACATTTTTTTTATAGCAAGAAATGAAAATAAAATAATAAAAGAAAAATAATAGTAATAATGAAGTAAATAATAGAAACTTGTTTTCCAACAGAAACAAATGAAAAACAAAAAAGAAAAACAAAAAATGTTAT